AGCAAAATAAAATCTCCTAAAACTACAGCAGTGGTCATTTTGGTTCAAACCCATTGGTGGTTATAGAATTGATGATGGACAGAGCATCTGAATGTATCATCCTGCATCAAGCATGGGAGGGAGATGATACATATGATTTATGTATCAAAAAGAAGGGTACAAAAGTGAGTAGAGCACATCTTCTGCAAGAATTTAAAAGTATTAGCTTTCTGCTGAAAGCGCCTTTGCGCACAGGCGCATCTCTTTTCAGCAATGGTCTGTGGGCATGGCTCAGAATCCCTCAAAACAACTGCCGGGATCCTGAAATTCCTCGTCACACTTTATTCCAGGTTTTGTATGCAGTTTTCTGGAATCAGTTACTAGATGAATTGTCTCAATAAACCAGAAGATGTGATATCTTCAAATTCAGTTTTTGATAAACAGGGTAAGTTTGAAGTTTTGAAAGGAAGAATTGTAATGTATGTATATATGCATACATTTATGTAAGTTTATTTTAGCAGGAAAACCCTGAAGTGGCATATATGCCAATGTTGTCTTAAATCTTCCCTTCCCTCCTACCTGTTGTAAAAGCAAAGACCAAAACCAAAATGAGTAGTAACTACAACTATTCACTACACTTAAAATTTCTACAACTTGGTAAGAGTGTTTGCCAAATTGAAGCTCATTAAAAAATTAATGGGACTACTGGCCACAATTTATCAAGGAAATAAATGTTCTGAGTGCTACAGGAAGCCATCTGAGAGCTTTTGGTGGAGTTTTATTGCTCTGCACTGGGTTTCGAAACTAAGCATAAAGCTCAATGTGAATCAATTCTGGGGCATCACATCATTTATCTTACGCATGTTGCTAATCCTCTGCTTGTCCATGGCTTCAGTACCCAACTTTTTCAGCATCTCTAAGTGCTCCACATCTCTGGAGGATGATGCAATGGACACATGGCTTTTTATTTATCAGAGAAACGTTGGCTGAACCCACCCAATTCCTCCTGAAGTTGTATCATAACAGACAGCTGGATATATGGAAAGTTTTCAAAGATCTATTGGATTGTTTTCATAAAGAGTTTTGATGTCAGATAGATGGTGTGTGTGTGTGTGTGTGTGTGTGTGTTGAGTAGCCATTGCAGAAAATATAAATAAATAAGACTCAGTAATTAGTATGAGCCTACACAAAATTCAACATGGAAATGTCCCATCTACTTCAAAATAGCTGATCAAAATGGGTCAGAATAATTGGATAATTAGCCTGTTAATGGGACAATCATCCAATTTTGAAAAGGTAAAAATAAATAATTCTTAGAAGGAGCATCACTAACACCAATTTCCCACTTCCAGTTTCTCCCAACAATCTGAATATTTTCATGACCAATTAGGTAAAGCTCTAGGACTATGTTTTATTACATTTTATTGCAAGTTGGATGTTATTCCTATTTTATATACCACAATTCAAAACTGTCTGGACTTTAGAATACTATCAGCCCTCTCTCCCCATTTTTAAACATTTAGGCTTTTCTTTGAAGCCTGTGTGCCTAAAGTGAGTTCAGATTCACTGTCTGAGACATGCAGAATCTCAAATCTCTAGCATTCGAATTCATGACTGTAAACTATAAGCATCAGTAGCAGTAGACTTAGGAAAACATAATCACCCACCTATCCTCCAGCCAGCTCCTTTTGGAAGTAGATAGAAAACATATACCTACAAAAAGGCACTACCCCTAAAAGGGTAGGGCCAGTGCTTTCCTTCAGAAGGGGGACAGAAGCCTTTTGGAAACTTCCCCATGTTGTGGCCTCTCAGTGCATCCAAAGCCACCTAACAGGTATGTGTGCTGGCAGGGGTCCCAGCAGGCCAGGACATGGTTGGGAATATATTTTCCAGAAAAAGAGGACTTTCTGGCAGTTCCTCCTTGTGGGGTCAACTAGGATGTGCTGAGGAAGAAGTGCAAACTCCAGCATCCGTCTTCCCTTGCCCCCTTATATACAAGATCACAGCCTGGGTAGTTCACCAGCACATTCCAGAAAATTGCTGAGAGGGTTCTCTGGTGTTACTGTCAGGTATAGCCTATTGAATCAAAATTCTTCCCTTACATCCATTCTAACCCCTCCCAAATAAATCCCAGAACAGTGGAAGCAGTGAAAATAGCAACATCAGCTATCTTGCATCACTGGAGAGCAGCTCATTTAGAACCACATTCTCAGTCGATAACTCAAGACACAATCGTGCATGGTAGGGATCTGGGCAGAAATAGGCCAAGTGCTTATTTCATATATGAAACCTTCCCTGTTCCTAGGCTGGCAATCATTATGCATGGGAACTTTACCTTATCCCATGATTTTGTCTTTGAGAAATTTAGCATGGAACTACAGTTTCTAAAGATATCATAGAAAGTGTGCTTGAAAGAAAAAAAAATCAAGCTTCAGATCAAATGTTTTGCCTAAGACTAAAGCTAATGAAGACCAATATAAAAAGTACCAGTCAGAATAATGCAAATACCCTGTCCATGTCCGGCATATATGTATAAAATGCACAAAGAGTGGTAAAGCATTTTTAGATGTCAACACCTTTTCCCTCCAACCTGGGAAAAACATATATACATACACACACACACATATATATATATAATATATATATTAAGTAGACTCCACACCCAGGGTGGAGCCCAATGTGGGTCTTGAACTCACGACCCTGAGACCAAGACCCGAGGCTGAGATCAAGAGTCAGGCACTTAACTGACTGAACCACTCAGGCACCCCTAGGGGAATATATTTTTTTACATAGTTAAATAGAAGTTGGTGCTGTGACTTACTGGCAATTTTTCTTCTGATTCCTATAAATGAATTCCGTTGCTTCAGGTGGAAACCTGGCTTGTGCACTAACCTTGGTCTACTTTTAGATCTGGGTAATTATTTCTTGGGAGTCACTCAGGGTAAGAATGTGGCTTATCACAAAGATGTGTTAGTCTCTCTTTTCAGGAGTTAGCTTCAGGGAAGTCTGAATTTTCACATTTGAAAAGTAGTCAGGTCAGACAGGATAAAGAACTTGAACGTTGCTGAACGTTATCAGCAGTGCTGGAATCTCTTCCTCTCACTCCAGCTGGAAGAATTCCTAAGAGAGCGTTGCATGGACCCTACAGGATGACAGATACAAAGTCCCTGCGAGATTTAGAGGAGACCCACAATTTGTGACTTCATACTTGCAATCCACCAGACATTTGCCAGCCTTCCAGGTGAGTCCACCCAGAAAGAGTAGAAGCACGAATACCTGGCCACTTCCTTCCACTGATACATACAGGTCAGTGTAGTTAAAACAGGCAACACTCTAAGGAGAGGAAGTAAAGCGTGCTGCTCAAGGAAGGATACAGAACAAAGAAGTTTATTTTACACTATCCGTCCAAGAAAACAATCTCCATAAACCAGTGCAAAATGTGCAACAGAATCAATACGTGTGTCTTAGCTCTGAGAGCCCAAATTGGTGATTTCCTCTCCCGTTCCTCCTTCGGGCAGGTGCCCCATCGGCTAACGCTGGCCTCGGTTTGCACCATTGACAGAAACATTCAACCAATTTGTAGCAGGTTATTTTTACAATTCATACCAGAATGTGTACAAGGGATGGAGGGGAACCATACTGAATGAATGATAAGTGGTCAGTGCTTAAAGTAAATACAGGGGGCAGCACGGGCAAGAATCCACAGTTTCAATAAATACAAGTGTAACAAGCATGGGTGGGTCTCAACTCGGTGGAATTAGTCTGCATAATAATTCAGCATCATACAAAATCTAGCAGGGCTGTTGAGCAGTGATTGGCAACAATGTTCACAATAACTTATGCCCTTGAGCGAGTCTTGCATTGAACACATTCTGCGGTTCCAAAGGTGTCAGTCAGTTCTCTGTTTTCTCCTTCCCTGGCCATCCTCCAGGATGGGAGGGGCGGAGCTGGGGCAGCTTGGTGGAGGCGTCCCATGAGGAAGGACGCTGGCCCAAGAGCCAGCTGTCAGGGTCCAGTGTACTCAATACCGAGTGGCAAATCGGGACTTTAGTGACGACGTCTGTGCAAAGTGTGCTTCTCTCCATTTTCCAAGAAACCAGTGTCTGTAACTCCTGCACGAAAAGCAGTGGTGGCCTCTGGGTCACTCCCTGTAACCCCAAATACCAAGCGACGAGCGCGCATCTCAGGGACTCATGGGCTGGGAAGCTTCTGGTGCTGACTGCCTGGCACCTCACGGATGGGGAATGTAACCAGGGCCCCTCATCCAAGGCCTCAGGCAGGCTAGAACTATTGCTTGAGAGACTAGAAGGAACCTAGTGAGAAAAAGATGATCCTAATGGCTATGTGGGAAGCTGTCTTCTTCCTTGAAAGCCTCGTGCCCCCTAGGTAACGCCTACAGGACTTCCGGGAGGCGTCCACGGATATGAAACGTCACGCATCTGTTCCCGGTGGCCCCGCCCACGTGTTCCTCTACTAAGTGCCAAATCCACGCATATTCTACCGTGCCTGGGATATGACCCCAGAACACATGGCAGGGACAACCTGTGGATCGTCTGCTAATCCAGAGCCCAGTGAAAGAAGATTCAAGAGAAACTCTCCGTCTCTGGAAGAAAAGGGGGCAGCCCCCCCCAAGTGAAACAACCTCCCCAAACCCAGTCACCTAGGCATTACCTCAAAACAACGAAATCCCAAACACTCCCTAGCATCGATATATCCTCTCCTCTATTCTTTTGACAGTCTCAGGTCATAAATTAGGTTTGTCTTCCATCCAATAACTTAAAAAAGGAGGAGGGATTGTAATAAGTTTTGCCTGGCTTGGGCCAGTTAGCAGCCAGTTTTTTGTTTGTTTGTTTGTTGTCTTTTCCTAGAATCTCAGTCACTGTTCAAAAATGGAGCTTGAAAATTCACGCGGATGTCAGAGTCTTCACACGGAGGAGACAGGAAGGGGTGGGCGGGAGAAAACCAGGGAGGAGGGGCGGGAGCAGGGAGGGGCGGGGACAGCCTGGGCCACCAAGGCAGAAGCGGAGGCCTGTGACCAGCGCGGGAGAGCCGGAGGCCCCGGCCCCGGGGCGGGGGCGGGCCGCGTGACTCGGGGTGCGGCTGGATCTTGTATTGCACAGAAAAGGAGGCCCAAGGCTCGACGGGCGGCCGGGCGGGTCAGTGGTCCCCGCACATGGGCAAGTTCACAAACGTGAACACGTTGAACTCCGTCATGATGGAGAAGCACAGGAATACGCCGTACAGGAAAAGGCACCCGCACCCGAGCTTCTTGTCCAGCTGCCACTTGTTCAAGTGAACGCCAAACACCTGCAACACACACAGCAGGGTCAGAGGGTGCGGGAAGAGGCGGCACGAGGTGGGGGGGGGGCTTTGCGGGGTCTGGGGGCGGGGCTGCCCTCGCAGGGCACCAAGTGTCTCTGAGCCCCCCAAGCCCATCGCTCACGTTTTGGAAGATCAGAACACTGAAATCAAGAAGGGAAGTCAGAACTTTAAAATAACTTTAAAAAGTCATAATGATGGGACCAATCGACTCAGGCACCGCGGCCATCACACTTGCCCTGGACTCCAACCCAGCACTGCTCTGTGCCTGAATCACCTGTTCTGACTCTTCACCCTCTTGTCCCCAAGCAGCCCCTGGCTCTTCCTGAGGACACATCTCCTGGCAGGTGGTGGCCGCATCTCTTCCATTCCCACGCCTGGAGGCAAGGGAGTTGTACCCCTTGCTCCTCACTGCTGCTTCCCCAGAAACACCCAGCTTGGAATCTAAAGCCTTCCAACAGTCACACTCCATCCCATCTGGCTACAGTCCACACTGCAAACCCAGACTCCCCCACTCCCCCTTCCCCAGATCCCCAAGTCCCACTCACTGCCACTCCTATCTACAGCACCCCGACGCTCTTCCCGGCGATTTCACCGTCCATGGAGAGGATCTTCCCAACACCTGTCCTCAACCCCATCTCCCACCCTGCACCTGCACTGCACCCACTAGTCTCATGTGGCTGCCCAAATCTGAACGTAAGTCAAATAATATTAAAAACTCAGTTGCTCAGTTGTACTAGCCACATGTCACGTGCTCCACATCCACACATGGCCAGTGGCTGCTGTCAGGGCAGGTGCAGGTGCAGGCCACTGACCAGTTCTGCTGGACAGCCACGTAGCCGAGAGCCAGCGATAAGCAAGCACAGAAACAATTCTACGCTCTCAATGTCCTTCATCCCGCTCTCTGCCATCTCCTCTTTCCGTCTTAGTCCATCTGGTACCCTCCCTCCCACAACTCTGCAGACCTGCAGGACCCAGAATTCATACCTACCACCACCATTCTGCTGCATGCCACCCCCTGGACCCACCTCTGTCCCATCTTACCCTGCCAAAATCCCACCAGCAATCGCTAGAACCACCCCTGGGCATCCACCACATTCACTGGTCTCTCTGGCGCTCCCATGGCAGAACCACAGCCTTGGGTTCAAGCCCAGCTTCCAGGGACTCCACATTGCTTCCGTGCTGCTGACCCAGGCTGGAGGAAAATGCCTGGCCATGCTGAAGAGTCTCACTTTAAATTCAAGCCCATAAACCTCAAGTGGGCCATTTATGGCAATCATCCCACATTTCCCTAAGTGCACTGTCTCCCCCTTCCTTGGATGGCTGTTTCCAGCCTCTCCCCTCTTCTCAGACCCCCCACACCCATTTCTCCACCTTCACTCTCAGCACGTGACCATGTTCCATCCACAGAGCTCCCACCACCAGACCCACTTGCTCGCCTTCTCTCCTGCCAGTGAGGTCCCACTGCCCATGGCCCTGTCCATGGCCCTGTCCACTCCTTCACACATGTACACAATCCCACCGCCCCCACCATTCAAGAACATGGCCCCAGCAACTGCCCCCCTTTCATCTCCATCTCCCTGCCCCACCCCTGGATTACTCTAGCTGGGATACGAGAATGCTGCTACTTCTCTCCTCTTAAAAAACAACTACATTTTTTCTCTCCTTTCTTTACAGCAAGATGACTTGAAAGAGTTGTAAATACCACTGTGTCCGATTTCTCTCCTTCCATTCTCTGTGAACTTGTCCTACTCGACCTTCTGCCTCATTGCCCCACACAACTACCCTCTCATTAAGAACATCGATAATGTTGTATGGCTAACTCGAATGGCCAATGCTCAGGACTCAACTCCCGTGACAGAGCCTATCACTCCCTCCACCCTGAAATACCTTCTCCACTTGGCTTCTAGATGCCATACTCTCCTGGTTTTCCTCCTACCTCTCTAACGGCTCATTCTGTTTCTTTTGGTGTTTATTATCATCATCCTGACCTCTAACTACCAGAGGGCACCAAGACTCAGATGTTGGGCCTCTTCTCTTTTCTGTCCTTCCTCACCCCCTTGCTGCCTGCATCTAACTGCTTGGCTTTAAATACCATCCACATTCTGGGGCCTCCAGCTTGGACGTTTCTTCTGAACTCAGAGTCATTTTTCCAGTGGCTTTTTTGACCTCTCCCTTGGGTGTTGAACAGGCACTGCAAGCTCAAGATGTTTGAAATTGCTCTTCCCCCACCCCCGACAAACCTACTTCTCTTCCATCTTCCAGCAACCCCATTTCAACATCCCAGGTGGTGGCTAGCCCCATCTCCTACAGGTTGTACAAATGTAGCTGTAAGCATGCACTCTGATGTCGGATGGCTTGCCCGTTCATTCATTTGGTGTCAATTTCTCTAGAGGCCTCAGATGTTCATCTGTATAATGGGGTTGATGTAGTGTCTATCTGATGGGCATGTGGTGAGCTCCAAATGGGAAAATGTATGCAAAGCACTGAGCACAATGTGTGGCTATGACAGGTACCATAAGCCTAAGTCACACGAGACCCAAAGAACCTCCTAAGCTACAGAACAAAGGATTGCATAGATTCGCACTTTTGTGTAAGGCAGTGTTTGCTTTAGTAAATCCTTGACATCTGACTCACAGTCTGATCCTGTCGATGACCTCCAGCTTCCTGCCTGCTCTTCTAAATTCCTATTCTCTAGCATATGGACGTTCACATGCCAGTGTAATTCAATGACTGTTTCCTTGAAAATTTTAAGAAGAAACACATTGTGTCTCAATGTTTTCTAATGTGAAAATTCAACTGCATACTTGTATGTTAACAGATACTTCATGTGGACCAGTCCATGTGTTGGTGTGAATCAATTCCCACCAAAACATGTCAGCTGAGTTGGAATATCAAATTATACAAGTAGATATAATGGCCAAGATAGCAGAATGGCATAAAAGTACATTGTCAGTAAAACAATGTGTTCTTAGTCTCCGAGTATTGGTCAAATCCATGGATTTATGGAGATGCTTATTAACCTGGAACAGATAATTAATTGGAATCTACCCTTCTCTTGACTAATCTTGCAGAAAAAGTGGGATCTCCCCTTTGCTTTTGATAAAATGGCTTGGGCTTGGCATGAGGCAGGGCCATGCTTCTCAGAGGAGGGCTGGCTCCTTTCACAAAGAGGGAAGGCTTTCTAGGGAGTTGCTAGGATCCACTTCTAAAGGAAACAGCCATGAAGGAGATGGGACATCTGGAGGCCGATTGTCCCCATCCACCCGGAGGCCAAGCCCATCTGTTGTCCAAACAAGCTCTGTAGCCAAAGAACTCAAGGGCGGGAGTGGGGGTAAGGGGAGAGGAGTCACAGGAACTGGAGAGGGGAAGGAGCTGTAGCCCTACCGTGACAAAGACGGAGGCCAGGAGTAAGCCCACGGAGTAGATGAGTCCTCTGCTGTTTAGCCGAATCTGTAAGAAAGGATGCGCTGTTAGTCTTCTAAAAAGGCATCTGTTCAGTGCAGGGGCTGAAGCAACTCTGAATAGTGGGCAGTCCAAATCTCTGCTTCAGGATGGCAAACAAAAGGGAGCTTCGACAGCCATGCTCTGCCGCTGGGAGCAGGGACGTGCACTTTCTTAGGACAGCCAGGGGCTCCCCTTGTCTAGTCCCCTCTCAGTCCAACCCCATTCTTCCCTCCAGAGGCAGTGCCCACTGGGCTGCCCCATGGTCACTGGAATTCCCTGTCGTGTGTGGCCTGATTCTTGGTGCCCACAACACTTCCCTGTGGACCTGACCTCCAGGAAGCATGTGCTTTCTTGACATACAACTTTTAGGGTAAATCTTGTGATGTGAGGGATGGGAGCAATATTTTGAAAAAATATTACTAAACTTTTTATCTCTTTTGCGTTAAATTGTCTGTGAACTCCCGCCAGACTTGACAGGAAGAGATGGATAAGTCTTGCTCTTGTAAGCAAGCAAAGAAGAGGAAAGAGTTAACATTCCATTCCTGATATTCGTAAAGGGATTTTGTTTTGTTTGTCTTTCAGAGTAAGACAGTGGGGTTAGCTGCCAAACACTGAAGAGAAAGAGAGAAACAATTTTTGGAATTCTTATAAAATAGCGCTGTCCAGTAGAACTTTCTGCCATGATGAAAACGTCCTGTATCTGTGTTGTCCCATATGGCAGCCATTAGGCACATGTGGCTCGTACAACTGAACAAAAATTTTAATCTTATCTTCAATTAATTCAGATTTACATTTAAAGAGACACATGTGATTAGTGGCTGCGGTATTGGGCAGGGTCCAATATTTAGAGGCCAACCGGGCCAAAAAATATTACAGAGTTTCTTTCATAGTGTAGAGAAGATGTCCCTTCTGCCTTGACCTAGGTCAAGGTCATGAGGTAGGCTACCCTGAAATAGGAAGTATGCCTTAGAGCTGCCATGTTCAAAGTGTCCTCCCTGGACCAGCGTCACCTGGGGGCTTGCTAGAAATGCAGGATCTCAGGCCGCACCCAGACCTCCTGAATCAGAAACTATGGGGATGTGCCCATCCAAGTGTTTTAATAAACCCTCCAGGTGGTTCTGATGTGTGAGAAAGTTTAAGAAACACTGACTTTAAGCCAGTACTGAGGCTAAATCCACATCTGATCTCCACGGGTTTTGGGGCTGGGACTTTGACATTCATTTTCACCAGTTCTCTTGTAAAGTCTTATCTGCATGGAGGTTTGGGGACATTAAAGCCCCCCACCAACATACACTGTCTTGCTGGGAGTCAAAGGCTCATCTGTATCCACAGGAAGGAAAAGCAAGGCAGGTTGATCATTTCATTAGAGAACTGAGTGGTGATTATTAGAAGTGGTTTGGGGCCCTTCTGACAAGGTCCAAGGCGCCTCTTGCCACTCTTTTACCAGTTCAACCCTGGGGTATAGGTATGGGAATATGTGGGTGTCTCTGTAGGTGGGTGTGTTCGGTTTACCTTTTGGTGACAGGAAACTCCATGCCCTTAACAGTCAAAACCTTTGTGTGGGGACCCAGGAACATAACATATCTCTTTATGCAATGTTCTAACCCTCTCCCCTGCTGGCACAATCCATGTGAGCCAACCATCTGCTGAACCCCAGCTGGAAATTATTCCCAGCCACCAAATGCCTTTTTAAGAGCAAAGGACTCAAATCATCTCTCTCAGAAACACTTTTGAACTCTTAACTGTCAACATTGCATGGATTCTGCTAAGCACGTGGTCAGTGCATTCCCAGCCCAGCTCACCCTTTGAGCTCTAGGGTTGAATCCTTGTCAGCAACAAGAATTGAGTAAAGTGATTTCCTGCCCCTAAGAAACCAAGAGCCAGTGAGAGCCAAGCTCTAAGCAGGAAAATTCTCTTTGGCCAAGCCTTCTGTCTTTTCAAAATCAATCATATTCAACTAGAGCTTTGGAACTTTACTCTTCCTCCACTGACATAAAATCTCAAAGAGTGGTGCTTCTAAAATTGTAAATCTGGCTCCAAAGACTAAAGACAACTGACTTGGTGGGGTTTCTGAGTATTTTTCACGTTTTCACCTTTTCCTCTGCAGTGTTCCTTTGGTAACAGATTGCCACACGCACCTAGGGGTAATTTTTGTTTTTTTCATTCATTACAGACCGGAGCTTTCAAAGCCTGTATTGATTCCTTGCTATCTGAATCCCCACCTCCACATGTACATGACAGTCAGGAATTAGGTTTTCTTCAGTTGCCTGTGGGTCCAACTTGAACATCTCCCAATCACTGGAGACTATGGATGGTTTGGGGCAAGAGTTGGCCAAATAAAATCTGGCCCATCGCCTGGTTTTGTAGATGAAATTTATTGGAGCTCAGCTCGTTCATTTGTATATTGTCTACTTCTGCAGTGGCAGAGTCGAGAAGTTCCATAGTGACCATATGGCCCATGAGGCTTAAAATATTTCCCCTCTGGCCCTTTCCAGAAAGTCTGCTGACCCCTGGTTTAGGGCACAGACTCCAGATCCAGTTCACCAAACCCCTTCTGAATCCCTGCTCGGTCACCGAGCTGCTGTATCATCATGGAAAATGACTTAACTTCCCCATGCCCCAGTTTTCTGAGAAGTAAAATGGAGATAATACAATTCCCACCTCATGAGGTGGTTGTGAGGATTAACTGAATTAATCCATGTTAAAAAGCTTGAATAGGACCTAGTGTATAGTGAGTTCTCAATGTGTCTGGGCCATTATTCTCCATTCAACTCATGAGCTGCCTAATCCTTTCCCTGGTACCCCTGGCTTCTTCTTTTATAAACTCACCACCCAGCAGCCCCCTGATCAAAGCCTCAGTAGATGACAAACACCATAAGGGCGGGAACCACGTCTGACTTTATCCTCCGCCGGGCATAAGGCTGAGCAAAGACCACATGCTTCAATATGTAACCAATGAACACACGATGAATCCGTTTCCTTGCAGAAGTGAAATGGAGCAGGGTGGACTGCTCAGAGAGAGGCTGGGAGCAGGGAGACCCTGGCTGCCATTTCTGGATGGTGTTCCAGAAGCAATGCAATCCTGTCCAACATTCCCTGTCCCCTTTCCCCACTTTATATTTTTTTAAGAATCCTTTTTTTCACCTAACATTTTATTATGAAAGTTTTCAAGCATTCAGAAAAATTGAAAGAATGACACCATTTTATTATACCATTTTACCAAAGGGCTCAATTATAGTTCAAAGGTCTTTTGTTTCTAGATGCAATTTCTGTATGGTGAAATTCACAAATCACGATTGCACTGTTCAGTGGGTTCTGAGAAATGCATATACCTGTGTTACCTCAACTGTGGCCATGATAGAGACCACTTCCATCCTCCCCAGAAAGTTCTCTTGTTCCCTCATTAGTCTCACCCAGGATCAGTCACTGCTTCTAAGCTTAGCCCGTCCAAGAAACTTCATATAAAGGAAGCCCTAAAATGTGTGTTCTTTTACACCAGGATTCTTTTACTCAGCATAATTTTTAAAGATTTCTTCATTTCCTTCGTATTTTTCATTGCATCAATAGCTCATTTCTTTTTATAACAGCATAAATATATCACGGCTTATTAATTATTCTCTTGTTTATGGACATCTGGCTTGCTTCTAGTTTGGGGCTATTAACATGCATTGATTTTTATAATTCACAAACACAACGAAAAGAGACCTACAGCGGCCCCTCTCACCCACAGGAGAAGCAGGAAGGGAGATAATGAAGACAGCCAGGGGGTCTGCTGGGACCTCAAACACTCTCTTTCACGCACCGGTACCCCCTCTCACTAGCTGGGCACTAGGAGCCTCTCCAAACAGGGCAGATCCACTTTCCTCACTTTAGTACACCGCTGTCTCCCTTTTGGAACCTCAGTCTTGTCAGATGGGGTGCGTACCTCCTTTTTACCTCACCTCTATTCTGCCCATCCCTCCCTCAGTTCTTTTGTCTCTTCCAAGTTCACTGAGCCCTCGCTGGCCCTATCCCCACTACTGATGCAGATCATGTCCTGACCTTGCCTGGGTAGCCTTCTCACCTCCCGAGCTAGTCCCACTGCTCTAATGGCACATGCCTGGGTCTTCAGTTTTGCCTCCTTCCACCTAGCACCTAGCTCCCCACTTGTCTACATACGTTGTATATTTAAATAAATATCTGCGGGTGATGCTGAGCATGTGTGTATGCTTGTGCACATGTGTGAGTATGTGCACGTGTGTGCACACACATGGAGTGTGTGTGCACATTGGAGGCAGTAAGGCTGGGTGGCAAGGGGCAAGATTTCAGAGCTGGATGAGGAGACTGATGTGGGGGTGGCTTTAAGCTGATCTTTTTAAGCAACACAGTGAAAGGGCACCAAAATAGGTTTTTTTGTAAAAAAAAAAAAAGGCATAATTTGCATACAGTAAAGGCTCAAATCTCTCCTATTGGCTAAGTTTTGACAAATGCATGTACCCATGTAATCCGCATCTCAACAAGACATAAAACATTTCCAGCACCCCAGTAAGTTTCCCCAAGGGCAGCAAATTTAACTCAACCCCCTTAAAATCTAGTTTCTTGGATCGTGCAAGCCAGCAATAGCACGGACCCGTCTCATCTCTGGACTACCTTTGCAAAAGACTTGGAGCTCTAGCCATACACAGTGTTGATCTAAACAATGGTTTCCCTGCTTCCTGAGTCACAGATACAGGGTCCATTAAGTGCAAATGCAGCAAATCTCCATGGCAATGCCCACCGAAGAGCATGCAAGGTACAATTGCCCTGACATTGAACACTGTTTTTATTTCTTTCCTTCAAAATACGGAATTCATTCTCTAATTCCCTCATGGCAACTGTTGCAGAGAAAACAGAAGGCTGGCTGGTTGCCAAGTCAACAGAAATTAGACCATGATGCATGTATATTTTTTCATCTGCATGCACACACAGACACCCATTCAGACCTAGCTTTATTTCTGCACACGGTTCATAAGTAGTTCCCTAAATCC